AATATCCAAAATTACGATATAACGATAATGTACGACATATAATAACCTGACTTCTGATTTCAGCGCCAGTGAGACATATTGAAACAAAACAATTTTTACGTTCTGTTTTTTGCATGTGTTGAAGAATTTGCTTTATACTACAAAATGCATTTGAAACTTCTTAAATTACTAAGACATATTATAATGAAGTTTAACGTTTGTTACGTAATACAATACACAGTTTGAAACGAAGTAAAGCACTTTTACGGCTACGAATGTTGTAATTAATTAGTAGGCTGGTTTTGAAATATTTTTAAAGTTATACAAAAATGCTCGGGGCTCTTGGTTGAATTAACACTTTAGCAAAATAAGCAGCGCGCATAAAGCATCACGGAATGGGCACCATATAAATTTTTATCGGTATCACAGTGTTTAATAATAAGATAAATCGAGTTGGTCAGACGATTTGGACCTCAACTCAATGGCTCGGTTGATATTGCTTATTTCTCTTAGTTCGCGTACCATCTTGCACCTCTGTATAAATGTTTGCAGGCATGAGAAGTATTTCCAAAAAATGTCACATAAATTGAACATAACTTAGCTTTTAATTAGCAGTTATTACCGAAACCTATGCAGGTGACATGGAACACTCGTTTCGTTATATTTCCAAGCTTATATGAATACGTAATCTAACATTTTTTGTCAAAATATTTGTCCTGATCAATTTTATCAGCCGAGTATATTTAATTTCGACAACGTACTATGACAAATGAAACTGCATAGGCGATCAAACCGCCGGGATGCTCTCCACTCTGTATCCTAAGTTGCCGTCAAATATATTTGAATTTACTGCTTATCGTGATGTATTTCTTCCACAGCCTGTCTACAAACTTAATCATTGTTCTCTGTGTGGAATTTAGGACTCGCCCATGTTTTACGCCATCACCCTTCAATAAGCACAAAACTGTCTTATCACCCTTCAATGAGCACAAAAACGAGATTATACGCACCGCTGCGCAAAATTAGAAGAAGGTTTGCTACTAGCTTCACAGTGGTATTAGTGGTGACCACTGTGAAGTGACTCTCACGGTGACCTTTGTGTGCAACCAAGCGAAAAGTTCAAATATCATATCAGAATCGGAGGCGGGACTAAATTTCCATACGCAAAAAGGAAAGCGAATGAATATAAAAATACAAAAATAAAGTTATATACGTTATTTCTGTAAATTGGAACAATAGGTGCGTGCCAGAAAAATGTAAAGTGCGAATCATCAAACAACAGCTTATAAATATGAGTTTTAAACAAAAAAAATGCAGCACGAGTAATTACTTTAAAAGTAAATATCGTAAAACATACACTTTTCAAACATTAGTCACATGTCTTTCCGCCAAGAGGGGCGAGATTTTATTGATTGATATAAAAAAGATTCATACACTCTACACAATACAATTTGAGTCGATGGGTACAAAATTTTAAAATTATGTGTAATCCATTGCTGAAAAAAGCCTATTTCGCCTATATCGTCATAGGTGAAAAATCGTAAATTTATGCACTTTTCAAACATTACTCACATGTCTTTCCGCCCAAGAGGGGCGAGATTTTATTGATTGATAAAAAAGATTCATACACTCTACACAATACAATTTGAGTCGATGGGTACAAAATTTTAAAATTATGTGTAATCCATTGCTGAAAAAAGCCTATTTCGCCTATATCGTCATAGGTGAAAAATCGTAAATTTATGCACTTTTCAAACATTACTCACATGTCTTTCCGCCCAAGAGGGGCGAGATTTTATTGATTGATATAAAAAAGATTCATACACTCTACACAATACAATTTGAGTCGATGGGTACAAAATTTTAAAATTATGTGTAATCCATTGCTGAAAAAAGCCTATTTCGCCTATATCGTCATAGGTGAAAAATCGTAAATTTATGCACTTTTCAAACATTACTCACATGTCTTTCCGCCCAAGAGGGGCGAGATTTTATTGATTGATATAAAAAAGATTCATACACTCTACACAATACAATTTGAGTCGATGGGTACAAAATTTTAAAATTATGTGTAATCCATTGCTGAAAAAAGCCTATTTCGCCTATATCGTCATAGGTGAAAAATCGTAAATTTATGCACTTTTCAAACATTACTCACATGTCTTTCCGCCCAAGAGGGGCGAGATTTTATTGATTGATATAAAAAAGATTCATACACTCTACACAATACAATTTGAGTCGATGGGTACAAAATTTTAAAATTATGTGTAATCCATTGCTGAAAAAAGCCTATTTCGCCTATATCGTCATAGGTGAAAAATCGTAAATTTATGCACTTTTCAAACATTACTCACATGTCTTTCCGCCCAAGAGGGGCGAGATTTTATTGATTGATATAAAAAAGATTCATACACTCTACACAATACAATTTGAGTCGATGGTACAAAATTTTAAAATTATGTGTAATCCATTGCTGAAAAAAGCCTATTTCGCCTATATCGTCATAGGTGAAAAATCGTAAATTTATGCACTTTTCAAACATTACTCACATGTCTTTCCGCCCAAGAGGGGCGAGATTTTATTGATTGATATAAAAAAGATTCATACACTCTACACAATACAATTTGAGTCGATGGGTACAAAATTTTAAAATTATGTGTAATCCATTGCTGAAAAAAGCCTATTTCGCCTATATCGTCATAGGTGAAAAATCGTAAATTTATGCACTTTTCAAACATTACTCACATGTCTTTCCGCCCAAGAGGGGCGAGATTTTATTGATTGATATAAAAAAGATTCATACACTCTACACAATACAATTTGAGTCGATGGGTACAAAATTTTAAAATTATGTGTAATCCATTGCTGAAAAAAGCCTATTTCGCCTATATCGTCATAGGTGAAAAATCGTAAATTTATGCACTTTTCAAACATTACTCACATGTCTTTCCGCCCAAGAGGGCGAGATTTTATTGATTGATATAAAAAAGATTCATACACTCTACACAATACAATTTGAGTCGATGGGTACAAAATTTTAAAATTATGTGTAATCCATTGCTGAAAAAAGCCTATTTCGCCTATATCGTCATAGGTGAAAAATCGTAAATTTATGCACTTTTCAAACATTACTCACATGTCTTTCCGCCCAAGAGGGGCGAGATTTTATTGATTGATATAAAAAAGATTCATACACTCTACACAATACAATTTGAGTCGATGGGTACAAAATTTTAAAATTATGTGTAATCCATTGCTGAAAAAAGCCTATTTCGCCTATATCGTCATAGGTGAAAAATCGTAAATTTATGCACTTTTCAAACATTACTCACATGTC